AATTCATCAACAGCAGGGAGGTGTCAAACTTGCTAATCAACACAAATAAGTCATAACAAAATATGACTGCTAATAACCTGAAAAACTAACTAAAAACATACATAATGTAACATTTAGGATAATATAAAATGAGAAAAGAAAATACTCAAAGTAAAAAGACATAGACATTGAGAGATATCACAAAGGCATGCATTTGTAGAAATGAAATCTGGGCTATAATGGGCAGATGCCCAGAATGGTAAAATTGCAATCTGAATTTCTTATGTTTGTCTTAAAGGTATATTAGTGGAGACAGGAGAACCTTTGATGATATTTGTTCCATTAAAGGAAAATAAACCTGCTTCCATGTCATTTTTCCTGCCACCTGGAGTGAATGTTCCTGAACCGTCAGACAACGTTTTCCTACAAACATTTGCTGAAATGTTGTTATATGTTAGGTAAGAAACAAAAGAAAAAAGTTACCTGCACTCTCTCCCAAATCCCTATATATATTTAAACAAATGGAGGTTATTTAGTTAATCCAATGGCCATTTAAGGAAATGTCCGCCTGCCACGTCAAAGCAAACCTCTCAGGTGGGTCCTACACTAACCATTCACTTTGTTTCCTTGAGCTTCAGGCAAAGATATCTCTGAGACAGAGAGGGGTATTTTTTTTTTTTTTTATATAAACAGTCTTTACATTCGGGGCGGACTGACAGGTCGGGCAGATTGGTCATGGAGGGCCCGAGGCAGTCAGGGGCCCGGCAGCACAGTCATGCTCTGGCTGAGGAGCCAGAACATGATTTATCTCATATCACTTTGTAGTTAACCCCCTCACTCCCCCCCTCACCTGTTTCTCCTCTCTCAGGGAGACCTGGCAGTGATCATTCAGTTCTTGCTGCCAGGTCTCCAACCCCTGTGCGGTGCTGTGCGTGAGGAGGAAGAGGCGGGGCCAGGAAGTGACATCACTTCCTGCCCTGTCTGAAGAGCAACCGGAAGATAAGAAGCTGAAGCTTCTAATAGATTATTATTTATACATCCTCATTCAGCTCAGCACCCCCTGTCTTCCTGCACACACCTCATCTCCCTCTGCTCTCACCTCAATCTCCCAGTACCCACCTCAATCTCCCAGTACCCACCTCAATCTCCCAGTACCCACCTCAGCATCCCCTGTACCCACCTCAGCCCCCCAGTACCTCCTACCTCAGCCCCCAGTACCTCCTACCTCAGCCCCCCCAGTACCTCCTACCTCAGCCCCCTTGTACCCACCCAGTACCTCCTACCTCAGCCCCCTTGCCCCCACCTCAGCCCCCTTTGTACCCACCTCAGCATCCCCTGTACCCACCTCAGCACCCCAGTACCCACCCCAGTACCTCCTACCTCAGCCCCCAGTACCCACCTCAGCACCCCTTTGCTCCCCACCTCAGCACCCCCAGTACTCACCTCAGCACCCCTCTGCTCCCTCCCTCAGGCCCCCTTGTACCCACCCCAGTACCTCCTACCTCAGCACCCCCAGTACCCACCTCAGCCCCCCAGTACTCACCTCAGCACCCCTCTGCTCCCACTTCGGCCCCCCTGTACCCACCTCAGCACCCTAGTACCCACCCCAGCACCTCCTACCTCAGTCCCCCAGTACCCACCTCAGCACCCCTTTGCTCCCACCTCAGCACCCCAGTACTCACCTCAGCACCCCTCTGCTCCCTCCTCAGCCCCCTTTGCTCCCTCCTCAGCCCAGGGGCGGATCCAGGGGGGGATCTGGAGGGGCATGGGGCAATTTATATCCCCCACCCCAAGAGCTGATGCTCTCTCTTGCAGGGCCGGAGCTATCCAAGCGCCGGCCCTGCTAAGTGCCTTCACGGACCGGAGGGGAGATCATAGATCTCCCTCACCAGTCCGCAGGCACATTGCTGGGCAGCTGGCACAGGAGGGAGAGGACACCCGGGAGCTCAGCCTGCAGCTCAGCCGGGTCTCCTCTCGCGAGCACGGAGCGTTGCCGCGGTTACCATGGCAAAACCCCTTTCTTGCGAGAATGAACTCTAGCCTCAGGAGCTGCAGGCTAGAGTTCACTCCCCACTAGAACCGCCAGGGATTCCACCGAACCACCAGGGATTGGAAATCATATCCCCCATCACTGGGCAAAGGAAAGAAGGGAGGGGGAGATATAAAGAATGTTTTTTAATAAAAATAAAAAAAATAACACATTTGTTTTAATCTGCCCCCTCCTTCAACTACACACACACACACACACACTGCCCCCACAGCCCCCCATATACACACTGCCCCCCCACATACACACTGCCACACCACACACTGCCTCCACAACCCCCAATATTCACACTTCCCCCCCATATACACTGCACCCACATGCACACTGCCACACCACACACTGCCCACACAGCCCCCATATACACACTGCCCCCACAACCCCCAATATACACATTGCCCCCCACATACACAAACTTATCCTCCATACACACCCACTGTACCCCCATACACACTGCACTCCCCCACACATACACTACAGCACCATACACACAGTAAGCCTCACGATTTCTCCTCCCCTCACACACTGCACCCCCATACACACAGTACTCTCCCACACAAACACTGCACCCCCATACGCACACTTGCCCATTTGCACTCCCATATACTCACACTGCCCCCACTACACCCTCATACACACACTGGCCCCATACACACACAGTGCTCCCACTGCACCCCACATATACACACTGCCCTCCCATGCACACACTACACCCCACACAAACACACACTGCCCCTCCTACACACAGTGCTCCCACTGCACCCCCATACACACACTGTCCCACATACACACACTTTAGCCCTCGCACATGCACTGCCTCCCATACACACACACACTCTGCATCCCTCACACGCTCAGAGCATCCCACACTCAGTGCCTCCCACACACACACACACACACACATACACATTACTAGAGGCCCTATCCTGGTAGACCCCAGCTAAATTGTCAAACTGTTCTTAAACAGTTTGACTATTTGCTCTGTGAGGGCACCACAGCACTCCTGGCACCATAACCACTACAGAGAGCTGTAGTGGTTATTGTGCCTGGATTGTTTATTTAACCCCTTAAGGACTGGACTGTTTTTGCGATGTTGTACATTTGCGACCAGGCATATTTTTACACTTTTGTGGTGTTTGTGTTTGGCTGTAATTTTCCGCTCTCTCATTTACCGTTCCCATACAAATTATATATTGTTTTTTTCAGTACAAAAGGGGCTTTCTTTACATACCATTATTTATATAATCTCATGTATTTTAATTTAAAAAAAATAAAAAAATATGATGAAAAATTGAAAAAAATACATGTTTTTTGACTTTTACTTGAAAAATCTTTTACTCATCTACAAAAACGAATGGAAAAAAACTGCTAAATAGATTCAAAATTTTGTCCTGAGTTTAAAAATACCCAGTGTTTACGTGCTTTTTTGCTTTTTTTTTTGCATGTCATAGGGCTATAGGCAGGGGCGGACTGAGAACCCTCAGGGCCCCCGGGCAAAATAAATCAAGGGCCCCCTTACAGGCCCCACCCATACTCTGCAGCAAGCGCCACCCTTGTCCCGCCTCCAGCCACACCCTACACAATCTTTAGACACAAGGAACAAAAGGGCAATAAGCCCTTCGAGGCCCCAGTAGAGACTACAATTGAGGGCTAATGGGCCATGGAGGGGGGTCTTTCCAGCGGAGGCTATCTCAGTGTCCTTTAGAGAGTGTGTTAGAAAGAATCCCTCCAAGCCCCATTAGAGACTACAATGGAGTCTAAAAGGCTTGGAAGGGGGTCTTTCTAACAGAGGCCATCTCAGCGTCCATTAGATATCCCCTGCTGGAAACAGTCGCCTCCAGGCCCCAGTAGAAACTACAATTGAGGGCTAATGGGCCATGGAGGGGATTTCTAGCAGAGGCTAGAGTCCAATGGGGCCTGGAGGGTGGTCTCTCCAACACTCTGGTTCCTATTCACAATATAGCAACACAACATAGCTCGCTGATACCTAAGCCAAGTTGGCTCCTCTTACCTTAATTACTGTTGCTGGCTGGTAGTCTGTGGGCTTGCTGGCTGCGGCTGGCAGGCTGTGGGCTTGCTGGCTACTGCCGGCAGGCTGTGGGCTTGCTGACT